AGAGAGAGAGAGAGAGAGAGAGAGGGTGAGAATGAGAGAGATAGAGATTGACAGAGAGAGAGAGACAGAGAGAGAGAGACAGAGAGAGAGAGACAGAGAGAGAGACAGAGAGAGAGAGAGACAGAGAGAGAGTGACAGAGGGCAATAGAGATAGAGAGAAAAAGAGAGATTTTAAGAACAGAGAAGCACATCGACACAGTAACGGTCATTTGGTGCAGCATTATTTTATTTGGGGCAAAGACCCCACCCACCCATCCACCCAGAAATCTCCCCATATCCTTCACCTAACCTCAAAACCACCTTCTTTCTTCACTCTTTCTCTATTTTAAAGTTGAACAGTACAAAAGACAGAAGTAATTGTGATTCAGGAAATAATAATAAACGTGTGACTGTGGGTCTGTTTATGTGTGTCAGCATATATTATGTTTGCATATGGGTATATATGTGTGGAAGAGAGGATGTGTGAGATAGTATATGTGTTTGGGTGTGCCTGTGTATGTGTGTGTGTGTGTGTGTGTGCACGTGTGTGAGTATGTGTGTGTGTGTGTGCACGTGTGTGAGTATGTGTGTGTGTGAGTGTGTGCGTGTGTGTGTGTGCATGTGTGTGTGCATGTGTGTGTGTGTGTGTGTGTGTCTGTGTGCATGAGCGTGTGTGTGTGTGTGCACATGTGTGTGTGTGTGTGTGTGTGTGTGTGCGTGCGTGTGTCTGTGTGCGTGAGCGTGTGTGTGTGTGTGCGCCAGTGTGACTGGGCATGCACACGCATGCCTGAAAATATTGTAAAGAATTAATTACAATGAAAGATGAACACTTACTTATATGCTCATATCTCCTTATACAGCTGCGAGCGCTATAAAACACTTTCCAAAAATAATAAATAATAAACACTTACGACAGCATTGAGATCCGAGGCAGGAATGAGGGCTTTGATGTACTCGTGGAAGTTATCCCACTGCTTCTTCTGTAGCAGCTTGGCAGCTCTGTGTTCTTCCAGGTCGGAGAACACACGGCACTGTTGTCACAAACAAAAAGATATTGAGAAAAAAAAAAGTTTTTTTTTACCGTTTGATTCAGACCGAAGGGCTAGAACCCAAATGGCCGCTGGATCGGAAAAGTAAAGTAAAGTAAAGTACCGTTTGAAAATGTATCTCACTTTTCTATTTTAAAAAATAACTTTCCTATGATAAGATCTCATTAATATTACAAATGTTCGTAGAAAAAATATTTGTAGTATTCAGATATTTTAAAAACTCCTTTCTAAGTGTTTTCAAAATAATGTGAATATTATAGCATAAACCATAGCAATTATAACAATATTAATCAGCTTAACTTTATAAGCAGCCAATGATACCTTACAAATATCTCTTCTTGTACAATAGTGAAAATCTCCAAGTCTAAGATGTAATGGCAACGTGTTTATCAATAGATTGAGTTTAAAAAGTTATGTTTTAACCCAACAAAAAAGTTTTTATCACATCAAAGGTGCCTTTCTTAACAAGGCAGAAGGGGATTCAGAAGAGAAAATTAAATATGATAAGAAAAGAAACCACGGCCTGGAGCTGGAGTTAGCCTTGAAGACCACAATAATACACTCAAAATTGTCCCTGATGGCCAACCACTATCAAGGAGACAAGAAGCCATCTTGGATAGGCGACCGTCTTACAGAGTGTCATTATAATGTTCTTTTAAAAAAAACGCAACAGAGGAAATAGAATGAAGTCGTTTGAAAAAGTGAAAGTCTTATTTCAGGTGGCCGTATGCAGGCCGAAGGGCTAGAACTCAAGATGGCTGCTGGATCCAAAAAGTAAAGTTAAAGTAAAGTAAAGTAAAGTAAAGTAAACGTGGCCGTTTGAGCAGGTTCCACTGTATTTGCATGAGTGAAGTGTATTCTTACCGGTGCTTCTTTCAAGCTCACAACGCTTAACTGCAGAGGGGTGTAGCCATCACTGTCCACGTACTGCAACATCTTGTCAACTTCCTCATCAAATTTCTGATAAGAATGAAAAGAAAATTAGAATTTCACGTTACCAACAAGCACATGACTATCATGCATGTACACACACAGACCCACACACAAGCACACTCGCACACAAAAACACACATACATGCACACACACGTGCACACACGCACGCATACACACACACATACTCACACACGCACACACAGGCGCACACACACACACTTAAGCACACACAAGCAAACAACACACAATACAGACAAAAACACATACAGAGACACACAGAGAAGCATACACACATTCAAACACAAACACAAACACACACTAAGACATACACGAACCTCATACTTACATAATCTTCTCAGTTTGAATTAAATCTATGAAAGAGTAATTATCTCTCTCTCTCTCTCTCTTTCTCATTTAGTTCATCATAAAAACAATCTGAGAATTTGTTTGACTCTCAGTACACCGAAGGCTGAGCTATTCCCCCTCTGTACAGTCAACTTTACTTTGTCATCCAATTTTTCAGCATCACAAAATTCCCTACAACTCCATTCCAATTTAACCTATTAGCTTACTACCCATTACGCCATCTGGCGTTTAGAGCAGCAACAAAGAATCTCCAGCTCTGTTTGTTTTGGGTCATCTTGGTCAGCGTTCCCCACGAATGATTCCAGGACTTCATTTCAGACTCTACTGAGCATCTCCAGGTCACTTTGGGTCTTCCCTTTTTGCGATTTCCTTCGGGTGTCCAGTGGAGGGCAGTCTTCACAATAGCGTGTGGTTCTCTTCTCAGAACATGCCCAATCCATCTCCATCTTCTCCTTTTTATTATAGTGGTCATGTCCTCTTGCCTACATTTACGTAATAGATCTGCATTGGAAATCTTGTTGGGCCAGAAGATACTGAGGATTTGGCATAAGCTGGTTGTATGAAAGGAAGATAGCTTGGCACTGTCATGATCAGTCATCCTCCAGCATTCAGCTCCATATAGGAGTGTGGATAGCACACAGCTGTTACACAGCTTTAACTTGGTTTGTATACTAAACTGTCCTGACTTCCAGATGTTGATCATGCTTCTGTGTACAGATCTTGCCTTGCCGAGTCTGTTCATGATGTCTTCCTTTGTGCCGCCGTCAGTTTTGATTATGCTGCCTAGGTAGGTAAATGTGTCTGTTACAGGGAGGTCTGTGTTGTTCACCCTAATCAGCGTTGGGGAGAAACACCAAAATGATTATAATGAATGCTGCATGCAATATATCATACACACAGTCTGATTTAGATACAGTGGATTTACTGGGGTTTTACTGATCTCGTTATGACTGTTAACAACCGAACAACGGCGCATGCCAGCTGAACTAAGAGTTAAAAAGCAGAAGAATCTTACAAATTTCCTGCACAGAGCTTGGACTTGATAAGGATTTCCCTCCTTTGTCCATAAGTTAGTCGCCAACAGGTGCAGGACGGACCTGTCCGGATCACCGTCGGGAGGGGCCAACACCGGGGATCCACTCTTGAGCAGGAACTCGGCCAGGGGCAAGTTCAAATTCTGTTGATAATGAAACAACTTGTGTTAAATAACAATTGTTTTGGCAAAATTTCGCATTTAGAAGAAAAGAGAGAAGAAATGACCTTTCGATGCATAATACTTTTTTTTCTTTCTATCCTTTTTTATTGTTTTCACTAATTTCAAAATAATCTTTATTAATTTAAACTTGGTCACTGGTTAAAAATTTCTTTAAAGTAAGAACGGTTGTTCTCAGATACCTTGTGCCTTGCTACTTATTTTCTGAATAAGGTCATGGCACCTGTACTAAATATTATCCTTTGAACGAAACTGATCAAAAGGAACTTTTTAACTGTTAAATAGGGAGAGAAAGTTTGTCTCAATGCCACCTCAGACACAAATGGGCTATTTTGGAGGTGCTACATTGGGCCGGGCCACAGGAAATGATAAGGAAGAAGGATGGAAAGAAGAAATAACAAATACATCAAAGAACATATCCCCCAATTTGCCTGAGCACAGATATAGTAGACTTCTAGTTCTCCAAGAAGAACTGCTGCTCTTGGTGGCTCTCTTTAATTTAGTTGAAGTAAGAGTTTTTACAGCACTTGCAACACAAATAGGTCACATAAGTGGCAAAGACTAGAGGTTTTACTAGAGAGTTACATACAAAGAGAAGGAGGAGGACCAATAAGGATGATAGATGTTTGATAGGAAAGAAGGAGCAAACCACACCAGATACCCCGCCAACCACCTAATGGAGCCCATCTGCATAATTCTTTAAGTTATTGATACAAACAGTTTTCAGAGAGATTGAAGGAATTCAAAAATACTTAGGCTCTTTGATTAATTTTTTTTTAAATCCATTCTAAACTAAAAGAGACTACTCTAATTCCTAACAACTTAGGTAACAGATACACAATGTATTTAACAATTACATCATGCCAGCTACTGACAAGGACACATGAAACATAATAATGCTTCAAAGAAGTAATAATAGGTATTTATTGATTTTCACAAAAATATAAATAAAACTCCCACAGATCTACATTGGTTAAACTGTATATGAGGGAGGGAACATGTTTTTAAAAATATTACGAATAAGCCACAACAAAAAAGTTATGTTTACCATGCCCAAAGCCAGCATTGCTGGAGTGAAGCCATCCTCATCCACGTCAGTCACTTTGCAGCCATGTTTGATGAGAAGTTCGGCCATCTTGATGCTCTGACTCACCGCTTCTTTCTACATTCAAAAGACATCAAATAAAAATCAACATGATAACAAAATAATAGGGGGGGGGAGGGGGGGGGGACATTCAAAGATCAAGTATGCACTGCCATTGTTACGTTCAAAATACACCAAACAATTCTTAGTCAAAATGAAATTCCTACTTACCTAAATCAAACAGAATATAACTTAAAAGCAATATAACTCTCTACCCCATCTTTACAATATGCGCTGGATTGTGGGTGGCTAGCAGGTGCAGTGGTGTGGTTTACTCCTAATTTCCTATCAAAAATCTATTATCCTAATCTCTCCTCCTTCTTTTTTATGTGTGTTACTATCTAGTATTACTTCTTGTCTTCAGCATAAATATAACTTATCTGTGTTGCAAGAGCCGTAAAACTCTTACTAAAACTTTTTTTAAACACTGGTGCAACTATGTGCCCTATTGACATTCTCTATTGTTAGTTCTGGTGAGTCATCAGTCAACCATGAGACTCAACTCATCGCGCTGATCTTTCCTCTTTTACTCTGTTAATCAAGAGTAGTCTAATCTCTTATGCCTCTTTCACTTACCAGTACCCAGAGACAGTCTGAACAAACATCTTAATTCATGAAATAGAAGCACACTTTTGTTTTGACCACTCTGCCATTTGATCTTATCTCATCCACGAACAAGACAGACAGATAGAAATACATCTGTGAACTAAATAGGTTCATATCAAAATAAACATGAGTACAAATAGACAAATTAAATACATACACAGACAGACAGACAGACAGACAGACAGGCAGGCAGGCAGGCAGGCAGGCAGGCAG